TTAAATATGCAAGATACTTTAATAATACTATAAGTATTCACTCGGATCAAATGACCCATTATATGAGCCAATAATAAACAACATGAACCACATTAAAATAAAATGTGAACACTAACATCGATCGAGGTAAAGAATCTTAAAAATTACTATGAGAAATTGATGTCTATCCCTCAAAAAAATAGAACTTATCCCAAAAAAAAGGCATGAAAGGCATCAATAAAGCAAGTCTGAATCATGCCCATCAAGGCTGTTGCAAAATTTGCGGTTCAGTAGAGCAGCACATAAAAGATGAGTTAAAGTGGTTGTGTCTAGGAGATCTTGATAAACTTGTGGAGGATAAACTATAATAATATGATGATGAGTACTGCATGAATGGCATCAAATTAACTTATCTGATATGTTTTGAATTTTGTGGTAGAATAACTCCATTGTACTTTGATGATAGTTATTATTGTGTAGACTCATCTAAAAATTGAAGATTTTGAGTTTGATGCTCGTCTATCTTTGTTAGAAGATCCTTCGAAATCAAATTTACGTACTTTTCACCAACTTACTTATATTTTCTTCTTGTGAATGATTACTTATCAATAATAAAAGATATATTTTGTTATTATGTGGAGCGTAATTTAATTAATTAATTGTCCACTCAGAGCCCTGTGTTTCCCAAATCAAGCTTCACTGCATTGTAGAGCCTCTTTGGAGTGCTACTATCGTGTCACCCCATAGTTAGTAACCGACTTCAGATCATTTTCACTTGATGCTTTAGTTTTGCTGATGGAGGAGTATGGAATTTCAAATTCTCTTCTACAAGGAATTGATTATGAGTGTTCTTGTGTGTCCAAGAGTGTAAACATGCTCGAGTATTGTGTAATTTGTATGATGCCCCTTATTTTCTTTACAGTAGATTTCTTGGTATGTTTTTTTTCCCCATTTCAAAATGTTTTCATTTTAACTCTTGTGATTTCTGTGTTTTCGTATTTTGTGTGCTTCTGCTCAAAGGCTTTTTCGAATCTCTCAAATTTGTTTCCGTGATTTATTCACGGTCCTCACCCCAACATACTTATCATTTGTTGAAAATATTTCTAGCATACAACACAAAACTATTTGGTGCTTCAAAATCTGTGATGATATAGTGGCAGTTTTGTCTTAGTTTTGCACGAAAATCCCATATAAACATAAAACAATTACAAAAGATAATTTTTTTACGTGAAAAACTCGAAAGAGGAAACAAGATGAGACCTACGATAATTTTTTTCAAGTGAAAAACTCGAAAGAGGAAACAAGATGAGACCTAGCCTAAATAAAATGATCTAATACATCTGATGAAATTTACACAATTTTGCTCCTTATTATTGAACAAATTGTGTTACAAATTCTGAATCTCTTGTTAATGCAATGGTGAATGCTACAGAAATAATGAGAGGATGATGAAGATGTTTAAGAGACGACAATCAAATAATATCAATCTACAACTGAGTTACAATGATCGTGTGATTGTAGCTAGATAACAATGGACAGAAGAAAATATTCAGGCAAAAACTGTCAAATGATGACAAAATAACATGAAAAATTCTTCATATCTCCAAACTCCATATTTATAGATTCAATTAAATCTTTCATGTGACACATTGGAAATATATTTATAGTTATTTAAAGTTATATTTAAATAATTTTGGCAAAAAAAAATTAATTATTTCATATAACGGTCCGTGCTAATTTCCTCGATTTTAGATCATTAAACAGCTGATATTACCAAAAGAAACAATGCCAACATTCAAAATCCTTGACATGTAAAAAAATGGAAAATTACAAACCAAACACACAATTCTTAAATATCTACACATATAACACCCAAAATTTACACTTGTTAAACAACTTGGTGAACAAAACTCACTTCTCAAAGAAATAGTCATCGTGGTATTTTCGATGTAATGTTAAAAAACTTGTGCGCTATGCAATGTAAATATGAATGTTGAGGTGTTATGTAAATACATTTGAGAATTGGAGGGTATATGTGTAAAAGAAAAAGGGTTAAGATTTCAAGCTCATGTCCAAAACCACATTTACAGCAACAAAAAAGAGCACAAAATTACAATAATGGAAGATAGAGGCTGAAGAAAGTTATGGTCTCCGGCTGGAGGATTTGAAGCAGAAGCAACGGACAACTTTGTCATCAGGAATCATACCACCCCCTTTGCTTGTATTAATTGCCTCCAGAAGCCCCACAACCTCATCCATCTCAGGCCTCTTATCAGGACATGGATCCCAGCATTTTTTCATTATGTTTGCCAGCGCGCTGGGGCAACATCTGGGGATCTGTGGCCTCATATTCTGTCAAACATTTCGCGCATAAGTTTATGACACCAAGATGTTATAAGGGTAAATATCAAATTTTGGGCATTAGATACGTAAATACATGAGAATTGTATGTTTTGTGTGTAAAATTTCCAATTTTTCTAATATGAAACAGTAAAGATGAGCTAATTAAGGTTATCATCACTGTTTAGAAGATGCACATTTTCATGCATAAATTTATGACACCAAGATGTTATACGAGTAAATATCAAACTTTTGGCGTTTGATATGTAAATACATTAAGAATTGTATGGTATGTATGTAAATTTTCCAATTTTCTTAATATGAAGCAATAAAGGTGAGCTAACTAAGGTTATCCTGTTTAGGAAATACACATTTTCATGCATAAGCTTATGACACCAAAATATTATAAGTGTAAAAATCAAACTTTAGGCATTAGATATGACAATCCTGTTTAGGAAATACACATTTTCATGCATACGCTTATGACACCAAAATATTATGAGTGTAAAAATCAAACTTTAGGCATTAGATATGACATTAAGAATTGTATGGTATGTATGTAAATTTTTCAATTTACTTAATATGAAATAGTAAAGACAAGCTAACTAAGGTTATCATCACTGTTTAGAAAATCGGACCTGGCCGATCAGTTAAAACAGTCCAACCATGAACTAGTTCATTAACCGATTCGAGCCACAGTTAAAATCCATTTAGCTAAGAGCGAGATAGAAATACAAAGAACCAGCATGCTTACTTTTAATCAGACGGTTACAACTTAATCTTATATTTCATAAAATGGTTTTTTTTTAATGTTTTTTTACCACATTTTTGCATCGTTATTGCATCATTTTGGAAATATTTAAATAATTTTAATATTAAACCATTGGTTATACTTGCTGATTTGCAATGAAAACTAACCTGTCGAACAACAGCAAAGGAGATTTCAGAAAAGCTAAGGTTCCAGTATGGCATGTCACAGCAATATATCTCCCATAAGCATATGCCGAAGCTATATACATCACATTTCCTGTTGTAAGGCTTACCATCAAGGACCTGCACATTAGATAATAGTTCAGAGACTTTTAGATACTTCAAGATGCTACGTGTATATGCATGTGGGTGTGTGTGCACGCGCGCGGGCGGGCGTGCGTGTGTAAGTAGCAAAATGATCCCCCGATTATTTGCAAAGGTGACAAAACGGTTCCAAACTATGTGAAAGACCAATTTAGTCCCCGAACTACTTAAGCATAAACTAAAGCAGTCCCAAGTCTTTTTAAATGGAACTTAAAATATTCCTGTTTAAGAAAATATTACTTACGGAGACTCCATATACATGCAAACTTTATGTACAGCTTTATTGTACACAGTTATATAACATTTGTATAATATTGTACAACATTGCTATATAAGGAGTTTGCATGCATACGAACTTCGAACGTAAAAATTTTCCTGATTTGAGGACCGTTTTGGCTGCCTAATAAGAGTAAAGGGATAAATGATACTTAAAATAGTCATCGGAGGACCATTTTGGCTCCATAAATGATACTTAAAATAGTCATCGGAGGACCATTTTGGCTCCATACTATATATGCACAACTCTCTAACCTCTGGAGCCATATAACCAAGGGTACCAGTTTCACCAGTCATATCCTTGGGGTTTTGTGCCTCAACACGAGCAACACCAAAATCAGCAATTTTAAGGTTTACGTTTCTATCGAGCAACATATTTTCAGTTTTGACATCACGATGAACAATCTTGTGTGAATGCAAATAACTCAATCTGCAAGAAAATTACAGTATATTCCTAATTTAGTAATAATAGTATCAGACATTAGGCACAGTTGACACTAATAAAAATATAATGTACTCACCCCCTTGATAGATCTAATGCCAATTTGATCACAGTATTGTAAGCAAGCTTCTTCCTGCTGTTTCTTATTAGGAACTGCTTCAGTGTCCCGCCGGGAAGATACTCGACAACAACACAGCATGATCGAGCTGGAAGAGGTTTGTGGCTTGCAGGATTCTTCTGTGGAATTTTGAGCTCGTTTGTTCCCATTGATGCCCCGATAAACTGAAAAATAGCAATGAGTGTTTTAAGAGCAGCAACAGGAAATCAAAACTAAAAAAAATATCACAAAAAAAAGGAGAAAAAGAGCTGTATATGGTAAGGAAGCTAACCTTGGTTACATTTGGATGGTCAAGTTTGTGCCACACTGCAACCTCCTTCTGGAATGATTCCCGGAGAGCAACAGTTTCAGCATCTCTAGCAAATCCATCTTCTCCCCAGTCCATAAGCTTCACTATAGCACAGAAAAGACAAATCATGAACGTTATTATTGAAATTTAAGTATCATTTTTACTCAAGTAATGTTTAGTTTGAAAGTTCATGGCATTTTTTCGTAGTTATGGTCTTTAATGACAAATTGCAATGCCATTATGCTATGTTTATTCTATCACCCTTATTGTCATTTCTGTCAAGGATAAAATAGTAATTTGTCGCTGAGATGCTTCTCATTATCCTAATATTAGTAGGGTTATAACGTTCACAAATTTTATGCATAAAATAATGTTGGTAGCTAGTTGGTGTAAAAATACAGTTTTTCCTACTAGAGTTGTTAAATATCGCCGATTTCTTGTAGCTCAAACTCTTAATCATTGAGATATAATTAATTTTAGTCGCAGAAGTATCACAGTTTTGTCCCATTAATACAAATTCCAAGAAGTCAAACATCCTAAGAGCGTTATAATATAAACCTTACAATTACATCCTGATAGTTAGGATATCGGTATATCGGCAATTTGGTGAGCATAGAGCAAACAAGATGTAGATACCTAAATGGCTGCTCTATTTGTAATGTTACTTTCCATGAAACTTGAAAAAGATTTCTTTTTTAATGAGAGATCACTAAATTATTAGTTGTTGACTAATTATAAACAATAATGTAATAATCTGTTGTGTGCATGTTGCAAATCTTAGAGGAAAATAGTAAATCAAGCTAGAATCATGACTTTTCTTCCTTAACTTATTATAATGAAGCACTTTGATAAAACATACAGTTTGCATATTCTAGTGCTGTTATTCCGAATCAATTTCTTTTAGAAAGGATATAATTGATTCGATGGTCAGAATATAATTAATTTCAAATTTGTTTCTGATTTTTTATCCATTTCTTTTTTATTTTGTGTACTTTCCGAACAAAAATATGCACTTTGTATGAGTATTAGTTAGGTTTAAATTTGCATTATTCAATGTTTTCTGATCATATTTTAAATCTATTTTATGTTGTCTTTGCCTTCTGCATGAATGACTTTGAATTTATCTGAACTCTTACAAAGTTAATGCTTAAGTGTGCCTTGCTTTTCGGCTAACATTGCAAAATAATAAGTATATGTAATGGCTATAACTTTAAACCATCAAGATATTGTTTTCTTTGGCCATGCAAACCTTGTAGTTTCATCTAGTTGATACAACATTTAAGAGGCCACCTATCCTACGAGTGCTCCAACGTGAGCAAACTTAAGAGCTCCTAACAAAACTCCAACTGTTATACAAAAAGATATCCCCATGCATAAGAGTCTACTTGACCGTATGTACAAAACTGGCAACCTATACTTTAAAATCTTACCATCTCCTACACGTAAAAATTGACATCCTTGTCAATGACCTCACTTAAAGTCCAAAAACATCCACCATGCAATTTGAATTCTAGAGATATCCTTCCATAAACTCAAAAGATGGTTTCCACCTTAAAACACATTGTTCAAATGAGTTCAAAAGATCGCTCTTATGATAAAGCACTTAATGTTTCATGACACTTAGTTCAAATCTTCCAACTATGTATTGCTCTGATTCCACTTGTATTATGCACAAAATATAGTCCACTTTGATTTCACAAGTAGACAATTTCGTCCCTTATGTGCAAGTCCACGAAATTAAACTCTAATTTAACTTTCGAGTTCCTGACATGAATCCAAGAGACAAAATTGAGTGCTTATGACAAAACTCCAACCATGAAACATTCTTGTGATGAATGGAGCCTACTCCAAGAGTGCTCCAGCATGTATTTATTTTAACTTTGGAGTTTCTGACAAAACTCCAACCATTGCACCAAAACGCATTGAATGTTTAAAGTTCTACTTCTATGTATTTAGGGAATTTAATAGAATTATGTCATCAGTTGATGCAAATTTGATGTATTAATCTTATATTCAAGCAGAAGGTTGTATACAAATTTCAATCTTTTGATTGTTTATAAGTTTGCTTGCTCTCTTATTTGTTATTAAAAGAGTTATACTTTAATGGGAGGTGTTTTATCAAAGTTATTTGATAGAAAACAGGTTATTAATCTTGCTTATTTATGTTATGGAGATATTAGGAATATATTTGAATAGAAATTAAAAATTCAAATAGGAAATAAGAATGTGTATCACTACATGCATATTTTTTACTTGTAAATATTTTTTAATATCTTGATGAGTTTATTGCATCATTATATACATATTAATATATATTTTAAGACTTATCATGTCATCACTATTCAACCTCCAATCTTTAAATTATGAACCTATCCCTCAAACAATTCGATGATCAACTCGGTTATTCAAGCATTACATTGAACAGAAAAAAGAAACAAGAAAAACAAAGCATGATACATGCCACCAAGATGAAAATAAAAAAGATCATAACCAGAAACTTAGGGGCCATTAGGAATCACTGCCGTCTTTGTTTATGCTTTTTATCATTTTTTTTTATTTTATTTTGCTTATGTTCTTGTTTAAATTAAAATAGGTTTGATTGAACTAATTATTTTAAAAAACACTCAAAATATTTTTTTAGATGTTTTGAGTGTTTTTAAAAAATAAGTTGATTTATTAAAAATAATAATAATAATAATAATAATAATTATACCAATCAAATATATTTTCAGAAAAAAAAAACTAAAATTAAAAACAAAAATAGGAAACAAAAGTGATGCCAAACAGACCCTTGGTAAATAGAACCATATTATATAACAATTGAGACCATGCGATTTATAAAAACTAAGTAAAATAAAGTTAAATAGCCACAAGGTCCTGCTTCTATCAATGGTGAAAACACGAAAAAACATTTTTGAATTGCATGTGCATCAATGATTAAGCATATATAAAACGATCATGGAGTTCATCACAAGCATAAGAAACAAATAAACGTTTATAGAACTTAGCAACCAACAAGTTATGTTATATCTATGAGATTACAAAGATGAGAATCAATACCTGCGACGTCGCGGCCATCGTAAACTCCTTTGTAAACTATACCATAAGTCCCTCTTGCAAGTTCATACTTTAACTCAAGCTTAGACAGATCAATCTCCCAATCATTCCCCGGAAAACCAACCTTATTATTGCACCAAGCATTGTTCAGCTGCTTTGCCAGCTGAATATCCAAGCTTTTAAGATCAATCTTATCTGCCCTAAAAAACATATCTTTCCTCCCAATGCTACCTAGGGCTCTTAATTTAGACCGCAACCCCCCCTCCTTCACCTCAATTTCAGTTCCCATCAACCCAGCTTTCTCCTCTCTAGTTGAATTCATCTTCAATGGCTATAAACCAAGCAAAAGAGCTCCAACAAAATCGATTTCAATCAAACAAAAAGACAGAAATGAAGTAAGAAAAGCTGTCAATTTCTGAAATTTCCTTCGCTGCTAGCTCGCAATTGATAACTATGAAAGTAAATCAACCCTAAATCACTTAATTTTAGAGAATCCCTCAATGAAATCAACGAACAGATGAACCCTAAAAAAATGAAAGATTTTGAGCTACGATTTGAGGAATCGAACAATCCGTCGACAATAAATGCCTACAAAAATTGATTTTTTTTTTGAATTATCAAATCAAAGAATACATACAAACTGTAGCATGCAGTGCTAGTAGAACGGCTATAAGTAGCACAGCCATCAGCAGCTCAAATGAACGATTTAAGAATTAAGTAATCCAGGCAAGAACTCTTCAATCTGAGTAACCCTAGGCGATAAAATCGAGAAGAAGCGGCCACAAAATAAAATAAAATAATTAAAAAAAAACATTTTTTGCTGCCATGACTGACTGGAATTGCTCAAAAAGGGAACCGAGATTCCTCCGTGTGGAGCGGGAAAAGGAAAGGAGGAGGGAGAGATGATATGAGCTGCAACGTGGAGAAAAGAGAAAGACGAGAGTTTTGTGAACGGGGAAGCCGCCAAGCGAGAACATTCTTGCCAGAACAGATCAAGCAGATCTCTGCCGTGGTTTATTGCTGGCAAAATTTAAAAATTTTATTTTGGGATAATTAATTACATAGAGACCACCTGAAAGATTGGAAAAAGTCAAAATATAACTTTTTTATTTCTTCTATGCTATACAGGCGTTACTATTCAGACACCTGACTTATTTTTACTTACGGTGCATTTATTTTTGGGTTATTTTCAGATTATTTCTAGGTTATTTTTAACCCAAAAATAACCCAAAAATAATGACCGCTGCGGGTTATTTCTGGGTTATTTCTAGATTATTAAAAAAAAACTCAGCAATAACCATAAAATAACTCAGAAATACTCTGCGATGCACGTAGAGCAACGTCAGGAGTCTGCACAGAAAAACTTTTGGTTGTACGGACACATATTTAGTCTCGAAGATGTCATATTTTTTCAAAATGTTGTTATTTACAAATCAAGCACTCTTATACATTCAATTTTCAAATTCTCACTCAAATATATCAAAGTTCATCATAAAACCGTGACCCTTATTTTTTATTTTTATCAAATTCTCAATAATCTGATCACACGTGTAAATGCATTAGTTCGGCAGCTCAAGAAATCAACTAGTTGCTTGATTTATAAATTGCAATATTTATGTTCTTTATGTAATTATCCTAATAAATTTTAAAATAATAATTTTTTAAATTTTATTATTTTGACAAGAACTTGCTTTCTTAGATACAATAAATAATATTTTAATTTAAGAATATAAATTTAAATATTTTGAATAATATTATAAATAAAAAAATTGAAGATGTTATAATTTCTCTCTTTTTAATTTAAATATCTTTTTTTTTTCCTCCAATCAAAATAAAAACTGTTAAAATTGTATAATATTTAAATTGATTGGTTCTTCAACAATCGAACTTGTTCACCAATTCTTCATTTCAACATCGGTTCTCACCGGTTCAATTCTAGTTCAATGCAGGAATGATTTTAAGCTTAGACTGAACAGGTTGAAAGCCCGATTCGCATTTGAACTGATCAAACCAGCCGGTTTGATCTTGTTCTCAAAACCATGCCCTCAACTTACATGTTAAAATTGTATAATATTTAAATTGATTGGTTCTTCAACAATCGAACTTGTTCACCAATTCTTCATTTCAACATCGGTTCTCACCGGTTCAATTAGAGTTCAATGCAGGAATGATTTTAAGCTTAGACTGAACAGGTTGAAAGCCCGATTCGCATTTGAACTGATCAAACCAGCCGGTTTGATCTTGTTTTCAAAACCATGCCCTCAACTTCCATCTAGGCAATGATCAAGTAACAGTCCCGCTAAATTAATTAATGAGCTTAAGCAAAAGTGATCATAAATGCTATATGGCCTCTCATATAGGGAAATATTTTCATATGGAATGCGCACACAGAGCTGCGTGCCTAATAACCCCTCAATAACCTTCGCTTCATGTTATTAGGGGATTATTGAGATTTTAGTGCAAATGCATTCTATGATGTGAATTCAAATTGGGTGTTAATGTTACATATAAATAAAATATAAAAAATGTAACAAATTTTTTTTTTTATATTTATATATTTAAAATAGTAATATTATTATTTATTTATAGAACGTTCAAATCTCTAAATCACTTTTAAATATTATTATTATCAAATTTTAAAAAAATTTTCATCTATATAATTTGATATAATTAAGAGGCTACAGTGATGCAAAAATAAATTTAGTAATATGGGTGATTTAATATTTTTCATATATCAAGAACTTGAAAATGTTATTTTTAATAGTTATACATATATAGTTGTGCACTACACCCGTTCAAATCCTCGACCGAACGGGATTCAAATTTGCACATGGGATTGGTTGGGGAGTCCACCCATTGACCAATCCTTTTATTATATATATATGTATATAAAGGAAATCGATATTTGGCAAAGAAATAATGATTTCCCATGCGCTAGGCCCCATGATGAGAGTCCGCCCATATGACTAAATATTCGAGAACCTAGCGCCACTGGAGATTGAACCCGTGACCTGAGAGGACTTGCAGTGAATCCCGACAACCAACAGGCCACGGCTAGCGGCGCACGCACACACACACGTAGATATATATATATATATATATATATAGATTTAATTTTAGAACAACATAAATCTTTTGCATCTACATAGTCCAACACCTACAGTTTAATATTAACATACAAAGCACTTAAATTTATAACATCACATCAAAAAAATATCACTATTACTACTTAGAAGTGCAATACATCTTTTGTTTATAACAATAAAATACAATAAATGTAGGTATGAAAGTTTAGTGATCAGATATGTAAATACATGAGAATTGTGTAACATGTATGCGAATTTCCTCATTTCCTTGCATGAATGCAACAACTCATCCAGAATGAGAGTATTTTCAAAGTAAAACCGATGCTATTCTAAAGCTCAGAGAAGATGCTTGGGACGTGGATTTAATAAACGTAGTTGAGGAATAGTAAGAGATTTGGGATGTGGATTTAATAAACGTAGTTGCGGAATGGTAAGAGAACGATAATATGGATGGTCCTATGTAACGATAATATGGATGGTCCAATGCATTACATAGACGATGCTCGGTGACTATCCAGCCAAACATTGAATTGGCGAGAGGGGATCCGCCACGTGTTCCTAAGCAAGATACAAATACAAACACTTATAAAACAATGAGAACACACCGCTGGAAAATATAAAAAAGAGATTAAAATATCCGAACACAATAGCAATAGCAAGTCTGTAAAACCAAAAAAATAACATATAAATAGTCCTTTAAACAAAAAAAAAAGAGGAAAAAAACCCCTCATTCTAATTCAAATTTAGGCCACACAAGAACCGACAACAACAATAGGTAAGAAATCCTTGTTTCGACCCCAAATCGAGCGATCTCGCTCTGCTTGGGTTATGTGGGAGATTATTGTAGATTAAACGGGATCCCATCCTGCAATAGCGGGAAAGGTGGGCTCCAAAGCAAGGATGCCTGGATCAATGGTGACAGACAAAAAGAATGCCCAAGTGACATGTTTATGGCTAGTTTTCCTTTAATTTTCTTCTTTTTAAGGGTAGGGGTTTAGGAAACTCTTTACAAGGTCCACATTTTAAAACAAGGAAACAGTTGATTAATTAAAAAATCTAAGAAAACAACCATCCAAATAACTCAAGTTAGAGTTCTCAGGTGAATTCATGATGCATCTTCGTGGATCTATGTCAATAAACCTCGATGCGTCGGCCCACAATTATAATCAGTCTTCATATATTATAGTGTCAATTAGACAATCATAATCTTCTCCGATCTTTATATTTGAAACCCAATGTAACCTCAGCATCTAAAAATTTAATATGATGTGAAAGCAAACCATTTAAACATATACCAGTCAATTCCAATTCTTTTTTCATATATAATATCTAAACATTGTTTTTTACATGTATGCTACTGATACGCCTCGAAACCAAAATCAGCGAACAAACCACAATGAAACGACAATAGATAGGTGGAAGAAACATAAACACGGGTTGCTCTTACGAAAATTAAAGGAAAATAAGAAAAATACAAGCATGATCTACTTTCTAGAGGTAGATCGTCTCTCTCACACCCTAGACATCGTTAGGAATACCACAAAAAGAAAGAAAAGAACAGTCAAACAAAAACATGCACGAAAAATTAAATCCTAGGTTCTTCCCTTTAAAAGAATCCTCCCAATGACATTTGAAAAATTTCCTTTCCCACTTTCCCTCCAAACCTTCTTTAATTTCTCCAAGCCTCTTGTGGTCCCTACATGCTCTTTTCCCTTTTTTTGCCGCAGCAAGGTTATGCCCCTTTGCTTCCCCTCGCGAACACGACCGGTCAGGCGGGCCGGTGCTTTGGCTTTTGACCGGTCCCCGGGGGATGGGGTGGGAATGCGGTAGGGGTCGTAAAAGCTACCCAAGTCTTTCATATCACAATAAATATATCACTATTTAAAAATTAAGATGCATATTTTCTTGCATAGGTAAAGATGGTATGCATGTAAAAATTAAATTTTAGATATTAAATATGTAAATAAATAGTAATTGAGTGAAATGTATGTAAATCTTCCAAAAAAATAAATTCAATATGAAAAATAAAATGGAAATTCTGTAATAAACACACAAATAATACCTGGAAAACGGATTTCCAATCTTACTAATTAAAAACATAAATATGAATGAATGTCCTGGTTTGTGATCAGTGGTTCGCTGTCTTCTGAGAAGTTACCTGCAGTTGACCAAAAGTTATTTCAGCGATATAGACTATTTCAGACATCCCTTGCCTTTAGATCAATAATATGGATTGCTACCTCAAATAGTCATTACAAAAAAAATTAAAAATCAAAGTTTGATGAAGTTGATTGAATAGGTTGGAAGATCATTAAAAAACAACAATAATTTCCTGTCTAGCAAATTATGATGAAATATTTTGGAAGATATTGAAAATCAACAAAGTTTTCAGGACTAACAAAACATGGTGAAATAAGCAAAGTTGATGTTTTAAACATGCTAAGACAAATTTTAATTGTCCATATAATTCAAATTTATCAATAAAAAAAGAAAAGAAATTCCGCCACTTGCTTAAGGATAAAGATTTAGAGTTACTAACAAAAGAGATGGTGCTAAACATTATGTACAAACGTTGAAATAATTACATAAATATTTCATTATATAAAAAATAAACATTGAACAAAAAAGGAAAAAAAAAACTGCATAAATATGAAGCTAGCAATAAAAAAATTAAATAAGAAGCATACCAAAGTTGATGACTTAAGCAGCTCTCTGATTGCCATTGTGGCATAACATGAAGCAGGGAGAGTAAAGCCTAACTTCAAGGCCACCTTCGGTGCAGAAAATTTACACTTCACTGTTGCATTTGCCCCATTTTGAACCTTGGACACAAAACCATCAGACCCAACACATTTTGTGGCCAGCAGATCGTCTAACGCGAAATCCGAACCTGTATTAATACAACGCGTGTTTGTCACCAAATCAGTGGGTTTTGGTCCAGAAATAAAATCTAGATCTGTTTTTGCCAAGGACTCATTGTTATCCACATAAGTTAGCAATTCCCTGTAATCATTCACAACAAAGGCTTGATCAGATTATTCCATGATAATACTTCGGAAGTTCAGAATATTCCACTCACCAATTATAATCTATAGGACGCTGGAAAACACGCCGGTAGTCTCCCGTCATGCTTGTAATAGAGAACTCCCTTTAGAATTAGGACACATAAGATTAGTTTAAAAGGAATATAAAATTTTGGGAGCAGAACTGATTTGTCATTCGTGCATGTTACATGTTACTATGATAAATGCGCTTTTTTTTTGTGGGGGGTGGGGGCTGGGGGGCATTGACTTTTGATTAAATAGCATGGAGTGACAAAAATAAAGCAGCAACTTACTTGACACCATGAACACTTTCTGTCAAGCTGATACCATCCTGAGTCCAAAAAAAAAATAATATTAAAAGAAATAAAATTTCAAATTTTTTAAAAGAATGAAAACCGTGAAGAGAGATGTCTCTTATTCAATTCATTGACAGAATCTGCGCGATATAATATTGAAATTGCTCTTGACTATAATCCGTGGAATGCAAGTCAAACCAGACGAATTGCCTTGCATTTAAATTCTTAACGGCTAGTTTTTCTTTTTTCAGTATTAAATTTGAGAAACTAAAAAGCAAAAATACTCAAATATAGAAGTCATTAACACCCCACCCTGCTGCAGCTGAGACATATATTAAGGTATTCCAGGAACAAGGAAAGTTTTCACTCACTAAATTTTCATTGAAAAAGTTTAAATTCTGTTTTATATGTCATTATCATTTTTTACTACCAAAATGGGCCGTTGCAGCATATATTATGAAGTCGTGACCACAGAAAACTGGCGTGTAACCCAGTGGTATTGACAATTACCTCCAAAGGTAAGTAAGGCATGGGATTCATAATGACAAATACTCATAGACTAATTTTCATTTTCTACTGCTATAAACAGTATCAAGTCCCAAGTCATCATGTCTGCAACCCTTTTTCTGACCTAACACACATTTCTCCTATTTCAATTTCCAATAGCTTGTCATCTTAATTTCTTTTCCTAAATCATTATATTGCGTCCATCTATCGACCTAGCATTTTTTTTCCTCTTTCTTCCTCTCTAACTTTGCAACTCTCAATTCAAAGGCAGGTTTGACATCCAACATCTAATTATATTCCAACCTCCAAGTATATTACGCCATAAGTGTGTCGATATAAATAACCAATAGCACCAAACAAAAAGATGGATACATGAAGTCAACTCAAACGCATTTATAGCAACAAATAGTAATAGAATATGATTTCTAAATAAGAAATATAAAAAAGAACAAAGGTCCTTATCCAAACTATTTCAAATTGGCTTTATTAATCTCCACAAAAAAAAAAAAAAACCTTTCAGGAGGATGTACCTTGGTGTATGTTTTTTGCTGATGATATCCTTCTAGTGGATAAAACGAGAGAAAAAACCTAGGAAAAACATGAATTATGGAAGTCTACATTGGAGTCCTTCGTTTAAGTAGAACTAAAACAGAATACATGGAATGTAATTTTAGTAGTAATAGCTCTAGTGACAGAGGTGTGACTTTGGGTGATCAAATTATTAAAAGGTGTGAACGATTTAAATATCTTGAGTCCATTGTTCAAAGCGATGGTGATATAAATGGGGATGTTAATAGTAGAATTCAAGTTGGTTGGTTGAAGTGGAGGAATGCTTCGGGCCTTTTGTGTAATAGAAAAGTACCTCTTAGACTGAAAGGAAAATTTTATAGGACAGTGGTCAGACCTGCAATGCTCTATGGCGCTGAATGTTGGCCTTTAAAAGAGAAGCATAATAATAAGTTAAGTATTGCCGAGATGAGAATGATAAGGTGGATAGGTGGCTTTACACTTAGAGACAAAATGCGAAATGAATATATTCGTGATAGGGTTGGTGTAGCTCCTGTGACGGACAAAATTAAAGAAAGTCGTCTTAGATGATTTGGTCACATTAAACACACATTAAACCACATTAAACATCGACCATCTGATGATCCGATTAGGACAGTAGATGTTTTAGATTCAACTTGTGTTAAAAAATGCAGAGGTAAACCTAGGAAGACTTAGGCTTATTGTATAAAAAAGGATCTTATTTATTAGAACTAAATGAAAATATGACACTAAATAGGATGCAATGGAGAAAAAGGATTCATGTAGCCGACCCCACGTAGCGGGATTAAGGCTTTGTTATTGTTGTTGTTGTTAGACATTGCATTTTCTTAAGTGCTAATCCTAGTGTTACCTCAAATTTGTGCAAGTCTTTTAGCTTAAGAATATAAAAATATAATAAAATAAAATCAATAAGATCACTTGGATACCATAAATTAAAACACTTAACCCCAAGTTGTCTTTTAGTCTAATGATTGTTGTTCTATCAGAAAGTCAAAGTTAAACATGCTCGTCTTGGAAAAGTTGAAAGACGACTTCTAGACTAAAGCAAACAATAACTAAATGGAGAAAATTTTGAGATGCGACGACTTCCATCACACAATTATACGAGGCAGAAAATGAAACCATCATGCAATAGAAAGTGCTATGCAATGGAAGACACCTCCTGAACCTATTTGGCCCCAAGTTCAACATGGAGTAGAGACCTCTGAAGCCCTATATGCTTTTTTACAAGGCGACCAAAAATGACATCAATTCATAACTGTGGGAGATTAAAGATCTATTCTTTACAATAAAGCAATCCTTTGAAATAATGAGACACCTTTTGGTGTGTATCTATTGGTATTTCGCTAGGAAAATCAAAGTTAAGCATGCTCTTGATGGAGCATTTTTTCGATGGATGGCCTTCATAGAAAGAAGAAGAAGCCCCGCCTGTTCAGTTAAAGCAGACAACATCTTGGCATGATAGTTCAAAGTATCGCATCACTCTAAAAAATTTATCCCAAGATATCAGGACTAGCCATTAAGTCCATTGGTTAGGCCAAGCTAAAATGGTTAGAAATGTTCACCCTGGCTAACCTATAGATTGAAATGTCAACCTAGTGCAAGTACACTCCTATTTAATGCTCGTTTCAGTGACCTGCATATCTTATATGTTAGGAAAACTTGCATACATATCACACAATTCCAATGTATTTACATATCAAACACCTAAACTTCAACTTTTACATATATGCCACCTTATCTACGCATGAAAAGGTATATTTCACACTCTAGAAGTGAAAATAGTGGTATTTTTTATATTATATGAAAGATTTGGGTGGTATAAATGTAAAAACTTTAGGTGTTAAATATGTAAATACATATGAATTGGGTGATATGTATGTAAATGCCCCTGTATGTTAACAAACACTTAGAAGATCTGATTAAGCCTAATATCATATTTAAAATAGGCTTAAAGGTGTATTGAGTACTATAATTGAATGGACTGCATACACTTACAAATATGGAGAATATGGCATAATTGAAGAAATAAATTAGATAAATGTGATACTCTTTGATTAAATGGACTGCATACAAAAGCCAGAGAACAAATTTGAAATTTTCCTGCACTTTTAAACTACTATGAATAAAACTTTGAACATGACCGCTTACCTCTTTAGATATATCAAGATAAATTTCAGCTATATCATTGTTTGGATAGATAGTCCTTGATCTGTAATCAAGATAAACTACTGAATATAATGACCATCAAGTAGGAAATTTAAAAGAAAAGGCTCAAAGGTGTATTGAGTACTATAAGAACTCACATACCCAGGTAAAGGAAGTACAACGTCTTCAAACGTATAATCTCCACTAATCAGATCCTCAGAATTTATAGTCTGAAACAACAAACAGCTGCACTCTCAAAAAAATATTATGCACTACATCAATCTATTAAACAAAATACTAGTTTTAACTATAGTATACAGCATATGACTTGCTAGAAGATAATTTCCAACAGATTACAGTTATATGCATAAATAATTCTCCTAATTTTGAAGTTCAAAGTAAAAAAAAAAAAAGTTGATGTGTGTATAGAGTATTTATAATAAGGAAGATTTACATGTATAACACTCAATTCTTATATATTTACATACCTATCACCTAAACATCAGCATTTACATATGTGATATCATAAGTATGCATAAAAAGGTGTATTTCACTTTTTAAAAGTCAAAATAGTAGTAATTTTTATGTGATATGAAAGGTTGAGTGGTATAAATGTAAGAAGTGAGTTCAGATGTTAGATTAATGACCTTTAGAATAAATCACAATCCCATTAAAAAAACTAAACATACCTTTACAAGCCGAACCTTTTCCTCAGGAAGTGCGGCATCAGATATATCAGGTAAACTATTAGTGTGCTCTCCATCACTACCTTCGTATGAAGGCTCAATGCTCTCAAAAGAAGCTACCTTCTTAAAATTATCACTCTTGCAAAAGACCAGATCTCCAAGCACAACCTGTGCAATACCTATTATTCAAGTGACATTTGAGTGAATGAGAACATAAATACTTCAAATGAGTACTCATCACAAATATTGGGAACCGGAAAACTAAAATCTGAGACATAATGTGAATCGTTCCTATCAGGAGCTTAGCATATTGCAGAATATTACCACTGTATAATATGGTCATAGCTACATAACTCAACATCTGGATGTAGCGAGTAAATTAAAAACGGTATAAAGATCTAGGGGCGTTTACATACATAGCATACAATCCATATGTATTTACATATGTAAACTTTTATATTTACACACAGCCCTAAAATGTTTAATATTATCATATGAAAACTATCACTATTACCACTAATTAAAAATGAAATATCCTTTTCATGCATATGTTTAACACATCAAAATGCTACGCAAATATAAAAATTTATGTGTGAGATATGGAAATAGATAAGAATTGTGTGCTACATATGTAAATTTCACAAAGATCTATTATATAACGTTCATGACCATAATATTTCCTGTAACTTTTAACTCTTTGAGCATGTAACAGAAGCCAAGTAGCGTGTACAATAACAATTACCACAAAGATATCAGAAGTTACTGTTGCATCATTTAAATGAATGAATGCACACAAAACTCAAAATTTTCATCCAAAGATTTACCCCAGAATTACAGATGGATCACGTAAAAGTAAAGACCTAAAAAAGCTAATCTGATCCATTAAGAGATTATACAACAAATGCTTCTGAACTGAAACAGGCCATTATTGTCTACAATCACATTAAACTACTATTCAAATTCCATTGATAAAACTTTCATTCTGCAAAATGCAACGAGAAATGCTAAATTTTAAAATCAAGGTGATCTTAATTTAATGCCCCAAAATGTATTGGACACTTGCATTATTATCCTAGCATGACTAAGTCTTTAGGTTTTGATCCAAGATAAAACAGTTACAAATGAGATCCAAAAATGCAACTAGTCCAAATAAAAAAAGTACCATAGCATCAGTGAGCTACTTGACGCACAGTCTTTGGGTTGCAATAAAACACCTAAGAAATATGAAGCTCTTCATGTTACAAATGAGATCCAACAATGCAACTACTCCAAATAAAAAAAATACCATAGCATCAGTGAGCTACTTAACGCATACAGTCTTTGGATTGCAATAAAACACCTAAGAAATATGAAGCTCTTCAGCTTGATTTGTGTGTGGAGGTGACAAATCACAGCTTCTAAAACTAGATTCTAGATTGACAGAATTGGTTACAATAATCATGTTATAGATGGGCAAGAAGTAGAAAACATGTAAACTTCTGCAAAAAGAACCATTTTATGAAACTTAAACGGCTAAATTTTAATCCAATCAGGCACTTACAAAGTGACATTTCCTGTCGAGTCCTAATTTCTTTTTAATGAACTCATTCTTGCTTCTATAAACAATTCAACGAGTGAGCAGTATATAAATGCAACTGCTTTATAATGTAGCAATGACATATAATTCATTTGTAAAACCTTACAGGGGATAATAACAATATAAATTCAATCTAACTAATCAAATAACAATCTAAGTTAAAACTAGCACTAAACATAATAGGCAACTCAAATGCATATTACAATTGTAAAAGTAAAACAAAGATGAAATAACATAAGATAATCTGCCTCATACCATGTTTTCTTACTCGCATACTGGCAGCATGATTCCACAAATAACTTTGGTAACTATGCACATACCTGAGAAATAGCACAAACAATAAAAAAATTCACAAAAATTAGTCTCATGTTAATTATAAATATTATAATATTTTAGAGAAATGAAAAACAATATGTGCATTTCTGATCCTTGGATTCCAATTCTCGGCAATAGATAACATACATTAATCTAAGTGTCCTAGGTATTCCCAGCAGAGCTTGCAAGTAGTTGCCCGGACATTTCTTTAAACACTTTAACTATTAAAAGAAAAAAAAAATTAGGAATCAAAGAAGAAAGAGAAAAAACAATGTAGGCATTAAATATCATTTAAAAACACTCTCGCATCTCTTACATAAAAAATTAGATTCAAAATTATGGAAGATCACAGGAACAAAAATAAGAAATGAATGAAGGTCCTTCTAGCTAGGCCAATGATAGCTTTCGGGCACTAATTAAATATATGTAGCCAAGCCTGGGTAAAACAAGGCTTTACTTCTTGATGAACTAGATGCAAGTACTAAGCATTGTGAACTTGACACTAGACCAACAAATAAGAGCTTAAGCAATGTCATGATTGTGAAAATTAAACCAAACCAAGCAATTGAACTGGTCGAACAATTAGTTGGCCCTAAAATAGATTCAGCTCTAACCAAAAAACTTAATTTGTGGGAAACCGGGATCAACCCGTAAAAAAGACTCAATTTCCTGATATATATTATAAATATGCATATTATTACAAACTTATCATTATTCAAGATTGTAATTGATAATGTGGATTTGACTATCTTTTTCCCATACAAGACATGAATAAAATATAAATATATCCTAGGAGGTCATTTTAAACTTTGTCACTGGCAACCTCAAATCCGATAAAATTCATCTCTTCTTACTCGCATACTGGCAATATTGAAACTATAGATGCATCCTCTAAAGATTGTGCAAGTCGGGTCATTCGAGGCAACTATTAGAGGTTGCAGATCAAGTAACTTCAATTCACCCTGAGGAGTCTTCTAATCTTCCCCCTACAGTAGAAAAGTCTAACTTAAAGCTTCTAACAAAATAATTGCCGAGAAGGCTTCATCCACAGCCATTACAGAGGGATAAAACACAAAAAATTTGATTGGCTCCTGAAGCATTATCATTAAGGTTCCTGTGAGTGAACTATTAGGTATTACTCAAATGGCTGAAACTAGCAAGGCCATTCCTAAAGGGACGGTGAGTCAGGGATCTTATACTCTTAACTCACAATGATTTTCTATGTTAAACAAATATATGAATGAACTTCATGCTAGATATTTTCAAAAGAAGTTGTCAATGCTCCATCTTTCTATTAATTTTTGAGTTCCAAGAGCCCTCATACCCATGAAATTACTTCAACAAGGCATTCTATTGAGCATGTTCCAGTTGTGGAGGAACACTTCTAAAATTTCAACAAAAACAAAGTCATTGGAAGCTCACTACCTTAGATAATACAAGTTAGCAATGAAACTAATAAAGACCAGTCATGTAAAGTTATCTAATAAAGTCATTGGCAAGGGAGAGTGTAATATTCAAGCTGAACCCAAAGGGAGTTATGAAGTGAAGAACTTTGCTCCAATGCCCCCAACAAAAGTAGTAAAGATTACAATCTCCGCCATCAACTTAGATCTTCTTGTCAAGCCCAATTCTTTGAGAGATATTACAACTTAAATCAAGTCTATGATGAGGTCAGGAAAGCTCAAACAAATGATAGTGGAAAAAATTCTTCCAATTTTTTGTGGTCAAGAATACCTCTGATGAAGCCGCTTAGAAGACGTCCTGGGAAAATTGACAATTTAAAAATTGAAGTTGTATAGATGAAAAAATTGTAGAACATTCTTGGATAATTCAGTTTCTTGAAAGATACAAATTCATTTTGTGCCAATTGATTCGATGCAGTGCTTAGAAGACGTCCTAGGAAAATTGACAATTTAAAAATTGAAGTTGTACAGATGAAAAAATTGTAGAACATTCTCGGATAATTCAGTTTCTTGAATAATACAAATTCATTTTGTGCCAATTGATTCGATGCAGTGTTGTTTCTAGACAGACCATTCTACATTCAGCTTTCTACTTTGTCTTTGGTGGTGGGACTTGTGAGAAGTCTTGAGGAGTGTTTCAAGTATTCCACATGAGAGCTACATTTTTCATGAACCTTAAGAGAAATAAATCCCATAATAAGTTTACATGTCAAATTTATTTTCCATATTCCTTTTATCAATTTGTTATTTGCTAATTTAAATTAAATAAATGTTTTTTTTGCATCACTCTTTCAATTAGCAATGAATAAACAAAGTATTGAGTTTAGAAATCACTTCAAAACTATGTCAATTTTATTTAAACTTAGACATTGTCTAGGAATTAGAGAGAGTCGTCTTAGATGGTTTGGTCACATTAAATGTCGACCATCTAATGATCCGATTAGGAGAGTAGATGTTTTAGATTTAACTTATGTTAAAAAATGCAGAGGTAGACCTAGGAAGTTGTGGGCTTATGGCATAAAAAAGGATCTTATTTATTAGAACTAAATGAAAATATGACACTAAATAGGATGCAATGGAGAAAAAGGATTCATGTAGCCGACCCCACGTAGCGGGATTAAGGCTTTGTTATTGTTGTTGTTGTTAGACATTGTCTAGGAAGACAATTTTTCCTACAAAATCACCCTCCATTGAGAAACTAAAATTCATTCAAAAGTCAGCTTTTACTTTGAAGTTGTCCTTCATTAAGAAGTTCCTTTACAATAGATATGATTGATCAATAAATTTGAGTAGTGTTTCAATATCCTATAATGATGAGAAAATATTCAAAACAATCATGGAATTTTTTAATTATATTTTGATTTAAAAGTAATACAATAGCGTGATACAAAGAAGCGAACACAATATTGCTCTTGGAAATTACATACATAGCACTCGAAACATTTTCATTTTAAAACATGCATCCTCTTTCATCCATTTTTCAAAATTTTCACTCAAATATCAAAATTCACAATAAAACCTCAACCCATAATTTTCATTTTTATCTAATTCCTAATGGTTTGATTTTGACACATGTAAATGCATCGGTTTAGTAGTTCCAAAATTCAACAAAAAGATCAACTCAACTAGAATATAAGAATTTCATTAAACAGCTATATCATATCCACTTTAAATCTTCATGAAGAAGCAACTTCAAGTAAGCTACAAATCTTCATGGAAATACTACATTAAGATCACGCCAATTCATGCAACATCAACTTGCGTAGTTTTTACTCCATAAATGCTTATAGATAGAAGAGTTTGATATTTGGTTTTGCACTAGGATTTTCACTTTTTGACAAAGTAGTGATGGTAAATGTTGTAGATTAGTGTCATAATAATTCATTTGATTCAAATCTCGCATCCCGAAGCTGTAATCGCGTTTCTAAAATTATCACTGATAACCTTGTTATTGATTTTGCAACTTCTTGGGTGACATTTTAACCCAAAAAGTTGCTAAAAATTCCACAAAACCAGTAATGCTATAGGGATGATGAAGTAGCAGATATGTGGTTGTAATACTAACCATTAATATGGTTATTGTGAATTTCCAGCAACTCAGCTAATATTTTCGATTGCTGAAATCTGAGCACATGTCTTAACAAACCTACTCATAGCCCCCAAGTCAATGCAACTTAGATTGGTTAAGTGTTTTACTTCAAGCAACTCGTGTTTAAAATAAATGGTAAAGTTCGAGTGTTTTAACTTAGATTGGTTGAGTGTTTTACGTCAAGCAACTCGTGTTTAAAATAAATGGTAAAGTTCGTTGATAACTCATCGTTCTTTTGTTTTATGTTAAGAAGAATTTAAGAATCCTACAATGGTTTATGGGCACTAAAAATTGCATGATGAACTGTTTCTTGAAATTAGAATAAGAAATAATACTCTTCACAAAAAATATTGAAACCATCTTAGTGGTGCCTCATTAAAATAGTGAAAATGATCGACACATGAGTGAATCATTGATACTCTAAAAAGAAGTAGTTCGCTCAAAATAAGCCATGTGAATAATGTAAGAATCAAAGTAGGTGATTTAGGGCTTCAATAAAGATTATAGCTTCGCAAGCTCAACAAAATAGGCATTTGATGCTTGAGGTTGATATTTATAAAATGACAAGGCGAGGTAGTCTCTATAGCTTTAATAAGACATGTCTTTTCGTCAATCTTCAGAGTAGAAACAAGTGCTCTGAAACTAAGTTTCATGTGTGATTAAAAGAATAAAAAAAATTCAAACTCAAGAGGCATCTTGAAATGGTGCTAAAAATTTGCTAAACAATTCCCAGATTAACCTCTTTAATTGAGCCTCCATCTGCTTCAACTATCAAGGAGTGACAACTTATTGCTTCACATGAAAAGATTTCACCTTTGGATTAGGACACTCAATAGTATGGCTTCTTACCCTAATGCATCTTCCATGCTTACCATGCTTAAAGAATGCAAGGCTTATTATGATTATAGGAAAATCACAAATCCAACAAATACAACAACAATAACAATCCATTATCCCACTAAGTAAATAAATATTTTTCTCTATTGCATCCTACTAAGTGTCATATTTTCATTTAATTCTAATAAATTAAGATAACTTTTTATACAATTTGCCCTAAGTCTTTCTAGGTCTACCTCTGCTTTCTTAATATAAGTCGAATCTAAAACATCCACTCTCCTAACCGCGTCATCAGATGGTAGACGGTTTAACGTGATCAAACCATTTAAGACGACTCTCTTTAATTTTTTCCGCCACTGGAGCTCCGAATATAATCATTTGAATTTTTTTCTTTAAGTATAAAGCCATTCATTCACCTAAGCATTCTCATCTCGGCAATACTTAACGTAGTTTTATGCTTCTCTTTTAAAGACCAATATTATACGCCAAAGAGCATTGTATGTCTCACCGCCATCTTATAAAATTTTCCTTTCAATCGAAGCGGTACTTTTTTATCACACAATTTATCACACAATAGGCCCTATCACACAATAGGCCCAAAACATTCCTCCACTTTAACCAATCAACTTGAATTCTACAAATAATATTCTCATCTATATCACCATCACTTTAGATAATAGACCCGAGATATCTAAAGCGTTCAAACATTTTAATAATTTGATCACCCATAGTTACAACTTTGTCAGTACAGCTACTACTACAAAAATTACATTCCATGTATTCAGTTTTAGTTCAACTCCAACGAAAGCCTTTAAACTCCAAAGTAGACCCAAGTTTTTCCAGAGCTTTTTCTCGAGCATTATCCACAAGAAGGTATCATCAGCATAAAGCATACACCAAGGTACATCCTCCTGTTAATGTCCAGTAAGAGCATGCATAACTAAAGCAAAAAGATGTGAGTTAAAGTCGATCCCATATGTAGCCCAACAAATATAAGAAAATATTTCGTCAATCCACCTTTTGTTCGAACACAAGTGACAGCTCTAGTAAACATATCTTTAATGACTTGAATAAATCCACAAATCCAACAAATAAAATAATAAATAAAGCAAAAACTATAACTTTGATACTTTATATAATTTGGAAAAAAGAAGAAGAAAAAGAGATATATAGAAGTGCTAAGACAAAAAAAGTGATATTTAAGAATCCTAATCAAATTAGTTGTATTAGAAATGAAGATTTTAAAATTGTGTTTAAGCCTGAAGTTATCCAAGAAAGTTCTATTTTAAAAAAAAATTAAATGAGAGCTTAAAAAAAAGACAATAATTTAAAGAACAAAATGAACCATATGAAAAGAGATAGTGTAGATTGATCCAAGAAATGAAGCAAATTTACATTTGAGTAAGATGCACTATAATCGCTTTAAGTTTACTTATAGAAGCATTAGTTAGTGTGTGATGCTTATATAATATTGTTTAAGGAAATATGATTATGCTGTGAGAGCAAATTACAAATGCATTAGTTAATGTGTGATACTTATATCATATTGTATAATCTCTTGATGTTGACTCTTTCTGTGATGGTATTTATGTGGAATATTATATGATTTATTATGGTGTTTTTTTTTTTCATTTTATCAGCATCTATTTTATCTCACTTGGATGGCCTTCTAAGCAAACCTGGTGTAATATAAGTTTTCTTTGTTTGTTTTTTTTTTTTTTTTTGGGGTTTATGATTTTTTTTTTTTTTATTTTTTTTTATTAATATCCCTCTTTTGGAGGGTATTTATGTTGATATACTTTTGTGACATACATAAGCTCGGTATTACGTGATTTAAAGATAACTAAAGTTCCATTTCTTTAAGGCCTTTTGTCTTCTTATAAGACGGATTATTCGTTACTTTGAATTTGTTCTGAGACTTAACGAGTTTATAAATTTTTATCTATGTATTTTTGTTGTTCTCATTAGTTAATTTTTTTTTATATAATTTTATCGTTGTATTATTAATGAAAGCTAATTTTATATTTATGGTTTTCAACTTTTAAGAAATATGCGCACAAGAACTTCTGGTCTTTCTAGAATCTTGTACTGCAACTGTTGATTGTAATGTTGTCTACTTACACCATGGAGAAAAAATAGCTATGGGAGAATTTTATCGATGTCCAAGAAATAGATCATAATAGAACTGTGGCTTCTTTACGTGGGCTAATCAGTTTGATGATTCTATTTCAGATAGTGACCAGGCGTAGAAAGTATCTTGGGAGAAGCTATCCTATAGAACTGATCGTCTGGATTTCAAAATTAATATTTAGAAAATATTACTTATTGTTTTTGTATTTTTATTTATTATTTTGATTGTTGTTTTAACTTGTTGTTAAGTGAAATGTTTCTTTTAAATGTAAAATATGAACCTGTGAGTTTTTGAGGATTTTAAATGTAATTTATACTTTCATTTATGAGCTATTAAGACTGGAACTGTTATCTTACAAACATTACAAGGGTAAAATTGTCTTGTTTTAATAAACATGTACTACACAACTAAACTAAAAAGAAAGAGACAATTTTCCCGCAGCAGCTTCCTCGCACAGCTGATGCACCACAATTTCTTCAAACAACTGCAACTGCAACTAATAGACCCTAAGAAACGAGATGGAAAGGAGTAAACTATAACCTACAAGGTTCAAAGACAAATGATTTATAAAATTACTTGAATGCAGTACTCAATAAGAAAGAATAAAGAAAATGACACAAAAATTTGAAAATTTCAAAAATAGGAACCCTAACTATTCTCTTTAACAAATATTATAAATAATGCATTAATAAACTTTCTAATCATACTTTACTTCTAACTTCCAGTTTTAGGTAGTTAAGTGTAAGTGACGCGGGCACTATGTTTTGAATTTGTTCTGAGACTTAACAATTTTATAAATCTTTATCTATGTATTTTTGTTGTTCTTATTGGTTAATTTTTTTTATATAATTTTATCGTTGTATTATTAATGCAAGCTAATTTTATATTTATGGTTTTCAACTTTTAAGAAATATGCGCACAAGAACTTCTGGTCTTTCTAGAATCTTGTACTGCAACTGTTGATTGTAGTGTTGTCTACTTACACCATGGAGAGAAAATAGCTATGGGAGAAAATTTTATCGATGTCCAAGAAATAGATCATAATAGAACTGTGGCTTCTTTACGTGGGCTAATCAGTTTGATGATTCTATTTCAGATAATAACCAGACGTAGAAAGTATCTTGGGAGAAGCTATCCTATAGAACTGATCGTCTGGATTTCAAAATTAATATTTAGAAAATATTACTTATTGTTTTTTGTATTTTTATTTATTATTTTGATTGTTGTTTTAACTTGTTGTTAAGTGAAATGTTTCTTTTAAATGTAAAATATGAACCTGTGAGTTTTTGAGGATTTTAAATGTAATTTATACTTTCATTTATGAGCTATTAAGACTGGAATTGTTATCTTACAAACAATACAAGGGCAAAATTGTCTTGTTTTAATAAACATATACTACACAACTAAACTAAAAAAAAGAGATAATTTTCCCGCAGCAGCTTCCTCGCACAACTGATGCACCACAACTTCTTCAAACAACTGCAATTGCCACTAACAGACCCTAAGAAACGAGATGGAAAGGAGTAAACTATAACCTACAAGGTTCAAAGACAAATGATTTATAAAATTACTTGAATGCAGTACTCAATAAGAAAGAATAAAGAAAATGACACAAAAATTTGAAAATTTCAAAAATAGGAACCCTAACTATTCTATTATAAATAATGTATCAATAAACTTTCTAATCATATTTTACTTCTAACTTCCAGTTTAGGTAGTTAAGTGTAAGTGACGCGGGCACTATGGCGCCCTTACGAGAGCGCTAAAATAACGTCCCAAAGCAGGGTGATCCCACAAGACCAGAAACCCATAACGCGTAATGGAAGCCGTAATCCATCGTTTAGTTTGCGGGAAGACCGTAGACTGCAATCTTTCGCTAACCGGAGGCTGTCTCACGAGTATTCTGCACCGCCTCTTCTGCACCGTCTCTTCTAAGCGTTCTTTTCGGGATTCTTCTGCCATCCTTTTATGTTGTAGCCAACAAATTGTTGTCCAAAGTAGGTAAAGTCAGCTCTAAGTGTGTTTACTTTCAGTTCTCATGTGTAGAGTCTATTTCCCCTTCGTGGGTTGTATCCGAAGAGGTGGTGATGCTCCGACCCTATCCCCTCCTCGGCGGTGATAGTATCTTCCACTTTTATCCTCCCAATCATATTTCTTTCACTCCCCTTAGCCGACTAACACTTCAAGCTTCTCCTAGACCACCACATGATCCGTTGCTATCAGCACAACCGCTAGTCATCCCAACCCACCTCGCCGATCTCTACCACTCATTAAAATACATTTAGAAGTGTTGTTGGTGTCATTTTGTGCTTGTGTTGCTATTTTCTATTCGCGTCATTTTGTGATCCTATTTTAATATTAATGAAAGTTTGGATTTTGTGTGTCCACTATTTCTCTTACTAGTTCTGGTATTAGTAAGTGCAAGCCAAAAGTAAAAAAACTGTTTAAGAAAATGAAGATCTAAGAAAATGAGGGTCATAATGGTAAAATACTTTTGCACAAACTTTGCCAGTCCCATCAAGTGGATATCCATATAAAAAATAGCAAGACTTTTCAAACTAAACACATGCAAGTTTAGATGTGCCAAACAAAAGCTAAAATAGAAATCACAATCCCAAACCGGATGATATGTTGGCCCTTAGCCCCTAAAGCTCGGTCAGTTTAACCTTGTAACTTTTATCACTGACCTATTAACACTTCTACAAAATATCATACTCAACATTCTAAAGGATATAACCAGAATGAAAAAGATTTCAATGAGCTATAAAAAAAAAATCAGGGAACCTTAAGAAGATAACTTAAAAACAGAAAAGGAAAACTCTGGCCTTCTTCATAAGATATTCATGGAAATTTCACATCTACCCTAGATTATCTTGAATTACCCCACTGTAAGGTATTGAATAAAAACATTGATAAGATGAGGAACATGTGCAAGGTAAAAATGGTAAAACAAGTTATGAAAACAAGAACCAACACATCCATGCGATGGAAACAACTTACAATGGCCCTCTCAGCAACCAAATGATGAGGTAATTGTCTTAACATCAAATCAACATCACCAATTTGCTTGTACTTCTCGCGTGCCTCTTTAATGGCAGATCTTTGTTTGAAAATTTTTAAATAAAGGAAAGCAATTTTTAAAATTAAAAATAAATTTAATCAAGAAAACCTCCTTAATGGTGTACTCGTTAAATAAGGACACCATAAGTATGCCATAAGGATATCCCCATCCCTTGGATCAAGAATCAAATCTACCGCAGTCTTCCACTCTCCGCGAAGGAGTGTGGCTCCAATCAGATGAGTTGGAACAGAACCACTCCCAAACCGCTGAAATAATTCAAAGTTGAGCATAATGATCAGACTTAATAAGTCAATCTATATAACAATGTTTCAATGCAAAGGATGAACATATTTAACATAATTTTTTTCTCTTGCTACAAAAAGTGTACCACCTGCAAACCATAATAATTGATGAAACCACTCCTTTTTAAGCCTTCAGCAGCTGCTTTTATGGCATCTTCTGAATCTGCAACAACATCTCTACAACAGAAAAGCTTAGTGGAAGGCAACTCATATATATATATATATATATAGAGAGAGAGAGAGAGAGAGAGAGTGAGAATATAAAGCTTGTTTTATGAATAGCAGAATAAAAAGAACACGAAGTACCTCAAAGTAATTGTGAATCTGTTCCCCAGTAACTGACCAAGAAGAAGTCCTTTCTTCACATAACTTGGCAAAACCAATAGTGTCATATTGACAAGCAGGCAAGCAGCGGTGACAATAAGCTAGCATTGTTGTACATCAACAATCAAAAAGAAAAAGAAAAAAATGGCAAGCAGTACTTACCAAAAGTTTCCAAGTTTAATGCCAAACAATCTGCAATTTAGAGCAGCTAACCTTTTTGGATGCAGCTTAAATACAGTCACCTAGAAAGAATGGCATTCAGATGCATGTCTTGAAAGTTTTTGAATCTAGCAGTGAAATGCGGAGAACAAAATCCAATCTTTTCTGAATCTTTCGAATTTATATATTTTTTCTTCTGGAGATAAATCCATTTTGTTATAGGTATAGTTAATGGGTTCATTAACAGTGAAATTTCAATTTAAGCATTTTTTCCATAGCCAAAGAAATTAGAAAACAACCTCACAGAAAACTGAGTTTTTAGAAGATCACAACAAACACAATTTAAAAAGTTTGTGGCCGATATGAGTTATGCAAACTGTAATTCAAATAAAATAAGAACCTATTGAAAGGTGAAAGGATCCAGGGAAAAAATGTACACTGTCATTTCTTATTAAAACCTAGAGTTCAATCAAATCATAAATCCAAGAGAACTTCAGCACAAATCTTAAAATGAAATAAATGCACAGACTATCCAAAGCCAGTGGGCGATGCACTCGAATAAATCAATTTCTTTCAACAAAATCAGGCTATTAGGTAATAGTGTAACGAAGGCAGTCAGAGTTCCCATAATAAAACATAACTAACATGCATGGTTGCCATCATTATGAATCATTAATAGCCAGGATTGAAAACATTTTCTTCTGTTGGTGAAAATCAAATACCACTTCCAAATATCATAATATATATAAATACTTTTCAATAAAAAAAAGATTGTAATGTACCCTTTGAGTTGTTATGGCCCGTTTATCTTTTGTTCCAGCAAAGCCAAAAGAGCGTTGCTACCAATCACAATCAACAAAAAAAACTAATTAATGAGTTTTATTTTGCAGTCTATAATAAAAGATTAAAAGACATCTTTGTAAATAAACTATAAAAACAACAAACAATATGGTACAAACACAAAAAAAATATAATCTACCTGGATACCTAGCATCTTTCCAATAATCCCCAAGGCCTCGTGGGTCTCTTTATTCTCTTTGTAAAGATGAAACCTAAACAAAGATGACCAAAAATCAAATAGGTCATATGTTGCAGCATTACAAAAAAAATCCTAGTATATAGCAGGTGGGGATATGAAAAAACCATGCAAGGATCATAAAAAGAATAATATTGTAATTAATGAGCAAGTCATGAAAATACTAAATTTCTCCTAATCTTCTGAACAAATGTAAGATGACAAATCTTCTTAATCAACAGTTTAATCTAACCAAATCTATTCCCATAAGTTTGCATTAAGATAAGGTGATGGAAATTGAAAAGAGAAGAAATGTGAAATGAAGCATTAGTGGCTGCCAATTTAAGAAGAGAGAGATCTTCATTTATTTAAGGAATCCTAAGGCCGCCAACAATAATAACCAAGCTTAGTTCTTAGAAATAATTAGAAATAACCTTTGTGAATTTCATATAAACAAAGAAAATGTTTCTAAAATATTTATTAACTCAAAACAGGTAAAGACTCTTAGAGATAAACAATAAATTGACACACCAACTGAGCGTTTACCTTTTAGGAAGGTTGGCATAATACCTCCTACATTTTTTGTTGGAAAAAAAAATGAAATAGTGAAAAAGAAAGTTGGGAAAATGGAGAGTTAGGATTCAATCTGCAGGCAAATTGAAGCAAAGTGAAGTTCTACACAATTGAAATCCTAAAAGCATCCCCCTTCCTTACTTTGCATTGCATTAATTGCCGCATTCCATCATCAAAATGCAGCAAAATCAACACCAACTCAAAAAAATTTACCTTAGGAACTTCCCTTGCTCCTCAGACCAATTATCTGCACCTCTACCGTCAAAGGGTATGTCATTTCTCCTTCCTGAATCCTCCATATCTTTCCTCTTCTTCCCTCTTCTACCCTTTACACCTTTGCCAGAGAAGAATCTAATCCTTACACATTTGGAATTGGCATCCTCTCCATCAACTGTATCTGTTACAAGCGATTTGAAATTCTTCTTGATGAAATTATGAACCTCCTGATACGCCCCAAAGAAAAAAAAAATCACTACTTTCAACTTCTATGAAAATCAATAAGGGCTCATTTGGTTGCCTAAAATTTAAAAATATGTTTTGAAAAAACAGTGAAACCATCATTTTATTTGATGTATTTTGAAATATAATAACTCCAATTCCATGCAAAACGAGTGAAAACAATCTCATCAATACCCAAAACATGTTTTTATTTACAAATTAAAATTTAAAAAATTGGTCGTAAAATAAGAACATCAATAACTCACTGTACGGTGAGACTTATCGCTATCTGGAGCTAGAACAATAGGAGGCAACTCTTCATTCACAGTAGCCGCAGCTTTTTGAAGAAATTCTTTCAATAACTCAGCATTGGCTTCACCAGCAAGGGTTCGAAACAATTCAATTTCATCTATGTAGCTCTTATGAGCTAAAGAAGTACTATTTTCTTCCTCCTCTTCAGAGCACTGAAATAAAAACACCATTTTTGCTAAAGATTGGACTGTTTTGATACAAACCAAATGTAATATTGAATTTAGCTGATAACAAGTTATCAAGTTTCGCTTGATTGGGCAGTTAGAAAACCTTCTTGAGCTCTCATTCTTTAAGCAAGTGAATGAAGTACAGCTTTGTAAAAACATTGTTGAAGACATGCAAATATAGTTCAGATAAAAAAAACACACCTTTTTTAGAACCTTTTAATAGGATTTATCACCAGATTTATTAAATAAAACAGAATGCTAAAATGCATGAGATCCGTGAATTTATGAATTTGTGGATTTAAGGGGCTATCTAACAGCAGATTTAACCCAGAATTTAAGCAGTATTTAAGCGGAATCCTACCAAACGGTCATTTTGGACAAAGTAAATCCCTGGATGCTATAAATTTTAGATTCCATGAATTTCGGCAGTAAATCTCGGATTTACAAAATCCCACAAACCGGTAATCTAACTTTGTGTACTTGGATATAAGAATATACATGATTTAGTAAATCCCTTGCCAGACAATTTTTCAGAGTTAACCCATTCAGGACTTAGGAAATCTAGATTCCTAATAACTTAAATCTCATATATTGCCACACACCACCTAAAGATCCCGATATTTGCCTCGGATCCAGCTTAAATCAGGATTTACTAAATCCAGAGATAGAGTGGATTTAACAAATTTTCAATTTACAGATTTACTAAATCCTACTTGCAGCCAAACACCCCAAAATGACTCCTCTCAAACAACAGAGACCATAAGTTCAAAAAAATTATGGAGCTGATGGTAATCGTCTTAAATTTTTTGTAATAAAAGAACATAACATAGAACAAATTTTCAGCTCGTTTACACCCTTAAACCCCAGTAGGAAAAAAAACAATTACCCCGGGCGGCAGATCAAATGAGGTTATGTGAACAATGCTCCCGTCGAGATCCACCTCATTAACAATGAAATCCGAATACCTAATTCCATGAAATGTGAGGAGACTGATTAAAAAAAAAGAAATTTTAGTGATTCAGCTGAGATTGTGGGAAGAGGACTCACCTCTGCTTCATAATAGCCTTGAAGCCGGGTAGAGTAGAGGAGTAGCAGTAGATTCCGACGTCCGACTCATCCAGAGATTTCGCCATGGCGACCATTGCAACGGTGGCTGAGGAAGGTTTTCGAGGGGAGGGAGGTTTGGGGAGGGGGAGAAGAGCCAGAACAGATATGGAGAATATGGCTGGCCTCATTTTGCCGGGCTGGGCTGAACGCTGCTATATGGTACTGTGCTGGTATTCATATTATAATACACTAATACTATCATAACATGCTGTTAATTTGGGTTCTAATTTGGGTTCAACTTATCTGAATTAGATTTGGGCTCGTCATAAGACCACTCAGAAGCGGGGAAAAAATTTGCGTGCGATATACGTACGCAAAGTTGCGTGCGATATTGGGTTATATCGAGGGTACAAGAAGGTTATATTCATAGTATAACTCTTTGTAACCTCCCTGTAACTTCCTGTAACCTATATGTACCTTAAAATAAGTTTCGCGATTCTGTTATCATATATTAAGAGGTTACACGTAAATTACAGGGAGGTTACACGGAGGTTACAAGGGCTTATACCGTTGATGTAACCCCCTTCTACCCTCGGCATACTCCAATATCGCACGCAGCGCTGCGTACGTCTATCGCAAAAAAAATTTGCGTGCGATATACGTACGCAGCGCTGCATACGATATTGGGTTATACCGAGGGTACAAGAAGTTTATATTCATGGTATAACTCCTTGTAACCTCCCTGTAACTTCTTGCAACCTATATGTACCTTAAAATAAGTTTCGCGCTTCTGTTATCATATATTAAGATGTTACACGTAAATTACAGGGAGGTTACACGGAGGTTACAAGGGCTTATACCGTTGATGTAACCCCCTTATACCCTCGATATACTCCAATATCGCACGCAGCGCTGCGTACGTCTATCGCACGCAATTTTTTTCCCAGAAGCGGACTTGGCTATAAAAAAAAATAAAATTTTTACTGATTTGGCCCGGCCCGAACCCACTTTCCCGACACACTCAAAACTAGCCTCAATAAAAAAAATAAATTGCAAAATTTATTGGAAAATATGAATTGAGCAATGATAATTTTAATCTAAAGATTTGAGTGCCGTGTATGCAAATATAAAATTTTATGCGTTAGATATGTAAATACATGAGAATTATGAGATATGTTTGGATTTATTTAAGATTTTAATGCATGTGTCACTCTAGATAGATTTGTGTTATAGAGAAATAGACAAATTTCTCAGTTTTGCTATGAATTTCAGATAGATTTGCATGTTTTTTTTTAATATGTTAGTCTTTTTGAATTTGTTAATTTTCGTATTGTTTCAGAATAAAAAGAAAATAAATTCAATGAAGCATCTTTATTGAATTTATAGAGAGCAAGTGCTTCTCCTTCCTCGGCCTCCTTCCTCTGGCAAGTCCTACTCGTCCTCAAAGGGGCACTGATCGATGCTCTCCATCAGTGAAGGACACTGTACAGGTAAACATCCCTCTGTAAAAATCCCAGCTTTCTCCACCTGCCTCCCACCCCCGTTCGGATGCTTCAGCTCTACTTTTTGGCAAAGTGGGAAAACCATAACTTACATGAAGTTGTTACAACATTTTTTGGCTATGTACAAATATGTCGATGTTGATCTCATGTTCTTTTATCAAAAGCTTAGAATTCGTTTGAGTCGCCAGTGCGAAGGCGTTATTGCACCACACCGTAGTTTTGTCTGTTTGAATAAACTGTATTTTGACATATTTTTCAAAAAATTGTCGTTGAAATCTATATTTTTCCATTGATCTTAGCCAGGTGAGGTGGCTACTTTCTATCTACGATTTGACTTTTTTCAAAAAAAAAAAAACAAAAATCACTGTAATTTTTTGAACATCAGATTTTTTTTCAGCAGCTTCAATTATTTTTTTATTAAGTTATAAGTGGCCCAAAAGCTCTTAATTTGGATTATAATGAGATACTTCTCATAAAACCTTTTATGTGATACAAGTTTTTTTATCTAGTAAATAAATGCAAATAGACTTTATTACAATTTTTCATGGTAAAATCATTTAGTTAATTTGTAAATATCAATGTATGGGATGGCCTCCTTCCGCTTTAAAAAATGAACGGAATCCGAACGCAAAATTTACCCAAAATCCAATCCTTCCCCAAAACCCTCCAATATCCCCCCAAATCCATCGGCGAAACCCTAAAGAATCTTCTCTCTCAGCTCGACCGGTGCTGCTCTTCCCCCTCTTCTCTTCTCCAACTCCATGCCAAAATCCTCAAATCCCACTTCTCCCACAACCCCTTCCTCCTCACTCGCCTCGCTCGCGCCCACCTCGTCTTCCAAAACCTCGCTTTCGCCCGCAGAATTCTCTTCAATTTCCCCAAGAAAGCTCCGCTTTTCTTATGGAATGAAACAATCAAAGCGTTTTCGAGGGGCGGATTCTTCCGGGAATCCATTGATTTGTACGGTTCGATGGTCTCGCGAGGCGTTCGTCCGAATGAGTTCACATTCACGTTTGTTCTGCCTGCTTGTGCTGGGTTGAGGAGCATTGATGAAGGTCGCAGAGTTCACGAGGATGTGGAAAGGATGGGGATGGAGTCTAATTTGTTCGTGGGGACGGCGATCATTGATATGTATGGCAAGTGCCGGCAGATTGGGCCTGCGCGGGAGGTGTTTGATAGAATGCCGCAGAGAAGTACTGCGGCTTTTAATGCTATGATTGCTGGGTGAGATGAATTTAAACTCGTTGTTGCGCAGATAGCTTGTTTCTTTTCACACGCACACATGTTGCCCAAAAAGCTTGTTTATTTTCACACATATTAAATATTGAAATTTTACATATTTAATGCTTAAACTTCATTATTCACATGTATAACACTCAAAACATCAAAATAAAATAAAAAATAGCACACATCTTTACAATTGTTGTCATTGGGCCACCTGATCCCAATCAAACTTTTTTAAGTCGGTCCCTTCTGGCGAATGTTCAATGATGTCTTATCTTAGTGTCTGTCTTAGGATGACTGTAATTTTTGAGAAAGTTGTGGTGAGAATTATAAATATTTAATTTTTGAGAAAGTTGTGGTGAGAATTATAAATATATATTTTTTTTCTAAAAAATTACACAGTAGTTTTCTTACGTTAGGTTAAAAAAAATAACTTTCCACTAGTCATCGCACTTTAACGAATTAGGTTGAAAAAAATAACTTTCCACTTTAGAAAATGTCTATAAAGTGACAATAAAACAGATCCCAAACAGATGTTAGGTTAAAAAAAATAACTTTCCACTTTAGAAATTTCTATAAAGTGACAATAAAACAGATCCCAAACAGATCTATGGCGACGGTCTGAAACACAAAGCAAGCAAAAAGCTGTCCCAAACAAACCCTTTAGTCTGTTATTTCATGATCCTAGTCAGCATGCTCTTTATGATCCTTGTCAACATCTTCCTGATCTCAGTCGGTCTTGTTCCTGGTTCTATTCCGACTTTTCCTGATCTTGGTTGGCCTCTTCGCCTAATCATATTATTCATTGCTGATCCAAGCTGACCCGAGTTGTTCTCTATCCTATCTCGATTGATCTCTTCTGTTGACCATCTAATGAGATTCTTTAACAAAGTTAACGAGGTGCTATATGATGTAATCAATATAAGTTTATATTTTAATATGAAAATCTTATTATTTCGAGTGATATGCATCTAAATCCTGCTTAATTATATCCTAGGAATTATAGCTCTATTCTTAAGATTTCTTGTCTTAGGATTAAATGAAGCACCTTTATCTCAAGTTTCTTTTTTTGATGTGCAGCCATGTAAACACACTGGAATTGTGTGCAATGGATGTAAATCTTTTGTTTTTTTTTCCCATTTTATTATCATTATAGGTATGTATTATGTGGAAAATACGAGCAAGCAATGTCGACCTTCGAGCAGATGAGAAAATCAGAAGTACAATATGATGCAGTGACTATGGTGAGTGTCCTCCAAGCTTGTTCCTCTATAGGAGCCTTGCAACAAGGAAGATGGATACATGAAAATTTGATTAAAAAACATCTGGAGATAAACTCACATTTAGGTGCCGCCCTTATAACTATGTATGCGCGATCCGGCAGCATAAAAGAATCGAAAATGGTGTTCAACGGAATGCGGGAGAGAGATCTGGTATGTTGGACTGCCATCATTTGTGGATATGGAATGCATGGGCTTGCAGAGGATGCAGAAATGCTATTTAACCAGATGGTGGAAGCTGGTGTTGAGCCTGATAGTATCAGTTTTGTGGGCATTTTGTCTGGTTTCAGCCATAAGGGGATGGTTGATGAGGGCCAGAAATACTTCAAGAAGATGACTAAAGACTATTGTATTGTGCCTACATTAGAGCATTGTGGTTGTATGGTTGATTTGCTTGGCAGAGCAGGTAGACTGGAAGAGGCCGAGAGGTTTGTTAAAACGATGCGCGTGAAACCCGATGCCGGCGTCTGGGGTGGGTTGTTGAATGCGTGCAAGATCTACGGCAATGTCGACATGGGCGAGCGACTCACGGATGAAATATTAAAGCTGGATCCCGGTAATGCTGGTTGGTATGTTCTCATGTCCAACATCTATGCGGCCGCGAGGCATTGGAATGGTGTCGCGAAGATGCGGCGGTTGATGAGGGAGAGGAAGGTTTCGAAGCTTCCAGGGTGGAGTTCGACGGAGGTTGGAGGTGCAATTCATTATTTCGCCTCGTTCGATAAACAACATCCTATGATGGAGCTAATATACAAGTTTTTGAAGGACCTTGAGGAGAAGATGCGAGAGGAGGGTTATGTTGCGGAAACCAAATGTGTGTTGGTGAACTTGAATGAGGAAGAGAAGGAAGAGATGCTTTGTGGGCACAGTGAAAGATTGGCGATTGCCTTCGGAATTTTGAGCGCGAAGGACGGGGAGGTGTTAAGGGTGATGAAAAACTTGAGAGTGTGTGTGGATTGTCATTCCGCAACTAAGTTTATATCGAAGATTACTAAGAGGACAATCATAGTTCGAGATGCGAAAAGGTTCCATCATTTTGAAAATGGGGCCTGCTCTTGCGGAGATTATTGGTGACTCATATGCTCAATCCTTGTATATTATGTATGTCATTTGATGTATTTATGTCCTTTGTTTCTCTATGATGTTGGCCTAGAGGTCCAAGGAGAGATATACAAGAGTTTCATGTCTTTAGTTTGTAGGTGGAATTTTCCTTAGAATCCATATGGGATATCAAATTTTGATTGTTTATACAACTTGTAAGTTGCTTCTCTCTCTCCTTTCCCAAACCTTATATATTGACAATGACTTGTATTTTATCAACCTAAAACTCTCTACAATGCATTAGTCACCTTAGAAACAGTTT